TTAATTTCTTTCTATTTTTAGTAGAGACGGGGTCTCGTTCTTGCTCAGGCTGGTTTCAAATTCCTGACCTTGAACGATCCTCCCGCCTCAGCCTCCCAGAGTGCTAGGATTATAGGCGTGAGTCACCGTGCCCAGCCTAAAAAACATTTATTTATAAGCTCCTGTGGAATATTTTCCAAGATCATAAATTACAAAAAAAAAAAATCTTTTAAGTAAAATGTTTAGAGTTCATTCTTTGACTATCATATAATAAAAACGTAGATCAATGATAAGTTTTTAAATGTAACAAATTGGAAAATTTTCAATATTTTTCCAAATGATTAAGTCAAAGAAGATATCAATAACATAACTGCAGGCACTTCACAAAGAATCACAGTGACAACATGCGGCAAACACACTTTCGGGGAACCTCCAATGAGCCGTGCTTTGTGTGAGCCCCTCCCCTGAGTGCAGGTAGTGCTTCTAGCCAAAAGAATATGGCAAAAGGGACAGGATGTCATTCCCGTGATTACGTCGTGTTACATAGAAACTGTGAAAGGATGTCGCAAATGTAATTAAGGTCCCTAATCAGCTGACTTTGAGTTAATTACAAGTAGGACTATTCTGGGAGGGCCTAACCTCATCAGATGATCCATTTAAAAGCAGCAAAGACTTAATGTCAACAGTGAAAGGCATTACCTACTGGCCCCAGGGCTAGTAAGTAATATTTTACTTTAAACTGTAAGTGGCCTTTTTAAACATGTTTAGTGTAGGTAACGTATCGGTCAAGGTTTGATCAAGGAAGCAGAACTAGCATTAGTGATATGGAGTAAGAGATTCATTGTGAGGGTTGTGTATTATAGAAATGTGGGAGGTGAAGAAGTAAAGTTCCAGAAGAAGATGGTTAGAGGGCCGTAGAAAAGTCACTCACCAGGGACCACAGCGGGAAACGTGAAGAGGCTTTTGGAAAGCTGTAGGCCCTGTAGCTGGTGGGGAGCCTGAAGGTGCTATAGGTCAAGATGGGCAATCAAGAAGAAAAACTGGTCACAAACCAGGAGAAAGCAAGGACAAACTGGAACATGTCCCCGACTGTCACAGCATCTAATCCCAAAAACAAAGGCGACTTGCAGAAGAAGCTGGTGCCCCCCACCTTGGAGTTGCACACGTCTAAGAGATACCAGAATAATCCTGAGGTCTGCTTGAATTTTCATCTAGGGGCAGGGGAAGATGTATTGGTTGCATATATTTGCAGGATTGCATATATTGCAGGATTCACAGAAGTTTTTTGTTTTTTTTTCCCTTTCCACGATACATTTCTGGTCATTATGAACCATATCAATGAGCCAACATTGACAAAATGGTAAGATCACTCTCCATAGTGGTGCAGATAAAGGCAATGATTTGGATTTCCGACTCCCAAATCAGATGGAAAAAAAATTGTTTGTGGTCCATGATTCTACCACATTTTAGCCCCAAATCTCTCTCTAATAAAAAGATTAGCTGTGTATCACCTCCCAACCTTGAAAGTCCACCAAGAGAAAATGTCCTTCATTTTTCAGCAGCAAAAGGGAAGAAACTAAGTAGTCAGGTTTGGAGCAATGGAGAAGCCAATTTAAATCTTTATCTTCACACCCCTGTAATTAAAAAGTCCACTTGCTCTTATATACGGTTATTTACTGTAACTTAACTTCATTAGTGCAAAAGATATATTATTTCATTTTACATGTTGAGGTCGTTTAAATATAGAAGACTCAGAACGAAATGAAATGACAGCTTCTTTTTCCGAGCGCATTAAACCCTTCTCTCTGTTTGATTTTTTTTTTTTTTTTCAAAATTGTGAGACACAAATTATCCAGAGCGTAGCACTCTGAGTCTCTTTTCTGGCCCATAAAGTCAACAGTTATGGTGCTAAAGTTTAATCAATCCCATAAAATGTGACTCAGAAAGTGACCTGGTGTTAGGCCTGGAGTGCATCTCCTACATTAAAAAGTACTTTCGATGCAGCCAGAACGGTGCTATTGAAAGAGAGACCTAATAGATACCCGGATGTGGAGGGGGAGAGAGGGGGCAGGCGGGAGGGAGAAAAGTCAAATGGGAGAGAAGGCCACAAAAATCCCATTTTCAAGCATTTCCCCAAGGAGATGTGCTCGCATAGATGAATGCACAGGTTGAATAATAAAGGTCTTTTATGTTATTTCGAGCAGAAGGCTTCAAGAATTTCACCGTGGAACAGACACAGTGTTCCCTTCTGGCACAAACTCTTGAGATTTCGATACCTAAAGCAGGAGAGCTCGCCTGATCAGGGTCACTAACACAACCAACTATCGTGGAAATTTCAGCACTGCTCACGCCAATTATTATTTTTTTTTAAATAAATAAAGCTTTCAACAGTCATTACACAGGAATATAACCTCATTACTTGTGAAATTAACACACAAGCACACACACACGTGTGTGCATAATATGCTTGTTCATTTGAATAAATGTGCATGCATAAGAACTTGAGATCTGTTAGATTTTGAAAATGCAAAGTATAAAAAAGCAAAATCAATTCAAATGCTAGAGTTTGGGAGTAGAAATACCCGCAGTAAAATATGGAACTAGCCCCATTTCCCGTATCTCCAATTTTGCCTCCAAGAGGTAACCCCTGTAAACAACTAGATGTTTGTCCTTCCAGACATTTTTCTCTATGCTTTTACAAATATATGCAAGCAGTACATCTTCCTCTGTCCCTAGATGAAAATTCAAGCAGACCCCAGGATTATTCTAGTATCTCTTAGGTGACAGTCAATCCTATGGTAACTCTGAGTCCCTAGCAAAGGCTCAAATCTGTATTTAGACCAGGCCCTGTGGCTCATGCCTATAATCCTAGCACTTTGGGAGGCTCAGGCAGGAGAATGGCTTGAGCCCAGGAGTTGGAGGTTGCAGGGAGCTAGGAAGACACCACTATACTCTAGCCTGAGTGACAGAGTAAGACTCTGTCTCAAAAAAAAAAAAAAAAACACCGAACAAAAAACCCTAGCACAGAAATGCAATTTCGTCCTTGACTGAAGGAGAAAGCTTGAGAAGACGTTGAAGAGTGAATAATGTTCACTCTACGCGATTCCATGTTATGTAATGTCCATGTCCCTGTGCCACCTACAATGTCCTCTCTGGACAACTGGTCCCGCAGTGCCACTGCGTAAGTATGAGACACTGCAAAACCACCGCTAACCCCTCTAGCATGAGTTTGACAGGATTCATAAACTCTAGACAGGGCAAGACTCTGTCTCAAAGGAAAAAAAAACTCTGTATTTAATATGCCTAAGCAAGATAATAATCCAACTTATTCTCCATGTCAAGTTCAAGTTTCTCTCCTATGGCCATGTGGATGCAGCTCAGACCTGCGTTACATATTGGGGAAAGAGATTGATTCTTTCTCTTTCACACCATGGCATCTCCACTTTCCTTCTATCTTCTGTCAGCCTGCCTCTCGAGTGTTCTTGTGTTCAGCAAAGGAAAAAGATGCTTCTTCATTATTTATTCTCATAAGCTGCCTTCGGGTGTCTGGGTTTCAGAAATCTAAAGCTTCTCTTTGGGACTCACGCTTCCTCAGGTTCCCCCTTCCTCTATATTGTAGTTCTCTCCACGCGGTTTTTTTTTTTTTTTTTTTTTTTTTGGAGAGAGTTTCGCTTAGTTGCCCAGGCTAGAGTGCCGTGGCGTCAGCCTCGCTCACAGCAACCTCAGACTCCTGGGCTCAAGCGATCCTCCTACCTCAGCCTCCCGAGTAGCTGGGACTATAAGCATGCGCCACCATGCCCGGCTAGTTTTTTCCATATATTTTTAGTTGGCCAATTAATTTCTTTCTATTTTTAGTAGAGATGGGCTCTCGCTCTTGCTCAGGCTGGTCTTGAACTCCTGACCTTGAGTGATCCTCCTGCCTCGGCCTCCCAGAGAGCTAGGATTACAGGCAGGCGTGAGCCACCGCGCCCAGCCCCGGAGTTTTCTTGATGTTGGTAAATTCATCTCTCCTCCTGCCGGTCGGTGACTTCCTTCTCAGCCCTAGGAATCTAGCTGCACCTGTAGCTTCTCTCTGCTGTGATCTGATTATTCCTCCATGCTCTTGGGCAGGTCTAAGCAAAATCTCAATCTCTGTCTCTCTCTCTTTCCCCTACTGTGTCTGTCCTTCTCTCTCTCTCCTCCCTCTGTCTGTCTCTCTCCGTCTCTCTCCTCTCTCTCTTCTCTCTCTCTCTCTCTCTCTCTCTCTCTCACGCATGGCCCACATTCAGTTCATGGGAAACACACACAGATTTTCTACCCAACTCCAGCACTGAGGGCAGCCAAAGCCTTTCCTTTGGCTCTGCCGATAGCCATTTCCTGCCCTCTCCACTTCTCAGGTGTCAGTCAGACACCAGTCCACCTGTCCCTCAACTGCAGGACACACACGTCATGCTTTCCAAGCGGCTCCACTGAAACCCCTCTCACTAGGCTCCAGGTGGGCGGGGGTCCCCTACAACCCTTCCCTTTTGAACTGTTGCATAGCAACAGTTCTCCCCAAATAGCCTCTTCACACATCCACCTCCAATCTCCATTCTCCCAAATGTTTCATACTCTCAAGGTATGAGGAAATTCAAGAATCATCCAGCTGATTTCCATCCCATTTTCATAAGTCCTACAGCATGACCTATCTCACAAGTTTCTTTAATATCTGATATGTATCGACCTAGAGTCTTGGCTGAAACACTTATTTTAACATCATCTTATACATATACATGGACGTGTATGTGCATATATGAGTGTGTGTATATATCATACATATAGATAAGATTATGTGTTAAATTTATACCCCAATTTTGTACAATGTTTAGGAATTGAGCCTTCTGGTTAATCTGAAAATTCTTTTCGTTTTGAACACCATGGTTAAAATATAAGATGTTATAATTACTTGAATTATTTTGTTCAAATAAGGTAATGACTTATATATATGCATTGGATCATCTGTTTCTTTTTAGGTTCAGGGTAAATTGGGAAAATCTACTTACTTCAGAGCAGAAATTAACCAGGTTCAAGTTAAGATGGGTGTTGCTCTACTGTGTGCTTCTCCTTTTCAAAATTCTTCCTCACTCCCTCTTTTGTTCTGAAGATGTCAAATTCTTCTTTGTTATGAAAAGGCAGCAACAAACTACAGATTAGGAACGGTTCCACTCTGAAGAAAGCCTGTCCCCAACCTATGAGTTTCCTGAAACACTAATGCAAGAAAACAAAAATCTTTTCCCAACTTTTAAGAAACTTTACCTGTTGTTTGATTTTCACCATGAAAAATACTTACAGTTCTTTCTTAAAAAAATAAATAATTAAATTCCAAGTTTTTCACCTTCCTGCAATGTGCTCATTCGCTGTTCTTAATGCAAAGGACTAGCAACTTCCCTCCTATAACCCCAGGAACAGAAGGGATAGTAAGTAGCCTACATAATATTCTGCTCGAGAATGTTTTAAGGCATCCTAAAGGAAACATTCTCCAGCAGAGTCTGTTTTGTTATGTGTTCAATAACCATATGTTCATTTCTATGTGGATAATGCGCAGCATAACAGATACCTGCAATGATTCGAGGAGAAGGCAATTATTGACTCAAGGGGGTTTTACTGATTAGATGCTGAATGGCTCAAACATGACCAGAACTCCAATTGGGCATTATGAAAAGTTTGCTTTGATTCTTGGGCATTTGTTCTTTTGCTCATAACAGGCTTCTGAAAAGCACATACCACCGCCCATGGAATGGAGAAAGAGGGATGGAAGAAAGATGGAGGGGGGGAGGGAGGGGAAAATGGGCAGACGACAAGAGGCCATGTGCTCTCTAGTAACTCCCCATTCTTGTCACATCTCCTCGAATATTTAGCAAATGTTGATAAAACATTAGATTTCTGTTGAGTGACACTTCAAGTCAAGGCGATGGGAGGACCACTGAAAGCCGGCGAACTTTGTTTAGGATGTGAAAGTATTATTTTCAAAAAGTTTTTTTAAATTCTAACAAAATGCATAGTAATGACTTATTCAACTTACTAACCAGCAGGATGGAAAGAAAGCTGGTTCCAGGAGCATTGGAGGAACTGTGTTATCTACAGGCATGTGAAAAGAGAATGTCAGAATAAGATTGTTAGGTTAGATACAAATCTAGTTAATATCGTACAGGGTAATAGAGCATAATCTTAGGATATAAATCATTTGCACTTTTACCAAAAAAAAAAAAAAGTAGACACTAACATAAATTTCACAGTCTGGGCTTTTAATCACAGCACACAGTAAGTCAAAAAAGATACACTCCCTTTTGGGGTGTTGACAGTACTACAGCCTGCACACTAACCACCTGATTTGTAAATAAAATTTTACTGGAACGCAGCCATGCCCATTTGTTTAAATATTTCCTATGGCTGCAGCGGAGTGGAGTTACTGTGACAGAGATTGTATGGCCTGTAAGTCTAAAGTATTTACTGTCTGAACCCTTTCAGGAAAAGTTTGCCACCCCCTGCCCTAGATAATTAAATAAATCACCGAGGCGGCCTGTAAACGATACTACAGTAGGACACTGAAAGGACATGCCACCCACTCTTTGCCTTGTTTCCAAATTTTTGAACAGTTTTTCTTTAAAAGGTTAGTAGGAATGGAGCAAAAATTTTTGATGCAAGACCCAAACCACAAGAGTATAAACCCTACAAATTAGCAAAAATCAGGAAAAGAGCTCTGAACTTTCACAAACACTGGAATTGACTGGGGCCACAGTCCAGTTATATTTGCAAGGAGCAAACTCACGACAGACGGCATCTAGGCTGTAAGTAACTAGCAGAGTCAGCTAGCTTCTGTCAAATGGTCTATACTTTCTCCTCCTTACAAAGCACAGTGATAACTGTTCATAGTATTCATAATAATCCTGGGCTAAAACACAATCCTGCAGTCCAGCAGCGTTTTGTGAAAAATAATCTAATCTTATTCAGCGTACTTTCCATGATAAGGATTATCCTTTTGGTCTCCATCTTATAGTAAAGATGCTCTGTAATGTCATGAGGCGGTGGTTTTCAAATCGCACACTCTGTAAGGGAAGGTAGAAGTGGGCTGAGGGAGTCAATAGCAGCCCCTTTTACCAATTAAAGACTAGCACTCTGGGAGGACAAGGCGGGAGGATAGCTCAAGGTCAGGAGTTCGAAACCAGCCTGAGCAAGAGTAAAACCCCGTCTCTACTAAAAATAGAAAGGGGACTGCCAGACGTTTATTGACTCTAAATCTCTTGATCTTCGGATGCCTGCCGTGACTGACTTTTATAAAAGGATGGTTGCCACCTGGAATGGATGCTTCCCTTTTGAGAAAAAAAAAATTAGCAGTATCTTTGTCTCCCACCTGATGTCACCTGATCAAGGTAGTCACCGTTTTATTTCCCAAGTCAAAGCAATCAGGTGAGCATCGCAAATATAATTCCTGGGGGGAAAGGAGACAGAATAGGAGTAGCACAGGGTGAAACATTTGAGCATTC